TTTGTTATCGAGTATGTGTTTTTCATGTCTACCCTTTGTCACAAATGCTGCAGATATTTTCCCCAGGTCATTTGCCTTAAAAATTCATCATCCCTAAGAGATTGGCTTAGATCCACACTGTATGATCATTTTATCCAAGATTTATATTTTTTAAAAGTTTTTACTTGTGACATGTGTGAGAACATAAACAGGAGTTCCAACAAAGTTAGTACACCGAATCTATGAGATGCCCGACACCAAAGCAAATGGAAAGTCGTGTCTGATAAGATTGGTTTGGTTAGTTATAAGCACCGTCAACTTGTTCAGCATAAAAGCACAAGGAAAAAGCTTTGAGGCTCTTTCCACGTTCCTCTCCAGTAACAGAAATGTGTGTGTGTGTGTTTGTGGTCAAAACAAGAATGCATCACATCTTCACAGTCACAGTTTTATGAGATGTGTGAACTTCTCCGTCAGGTGGGAAGTCCAGTAAGGCTTCAAAGAGGAAGTGACATACGAGTTGGATTTTTTGAAGGATCATTTCTCATGAAAAGGCACAAAAGCATGGAAGAACCTAAAACATTCATAGACAGTGATAAATTCACTGTGGCAGTAACATGGGACACTGGAAGAGGAGGGGCAGGTGATAACCCTTAGAAAGATGAGGCTAGAAGCAGATGAAGAAGGGTCCTGTATGTAGTTCTAGAATACATATCTTGTCCTAGGGTAACTGATGAGCAGGGGAAATGGTCGACTACAGAAGTGAGACCATGAAGACGAACATGAAAACTCAGACTGCAAACTCCCTAGGTAGGAATCCAGCAGTGCAGTGTCTTTCTAATTGTCTGCTGGTTGCTAATACAAAGTTTATTGGCCTCAGTGTGTTTTATTAAAAGTGTATATGCTTGAAAAGTCAATTATGTAATATTGTATTAAATTCATATCATTATTGGCCTACCCATCAATTTTATTTTGAGCTTTTGATATTGAAATATGAGATATTTCTTCAAGGGCAATAAAATCAATCTACAAATCAATTGCCCCGTAACATAATATTTCTAACAAAATGACTGAATGAAACTACATATTGGAATATACTATACTATATCCATTGGGCTAAAATTTGCACAAATATTTTTTCCTTTTTAATGAAGTCACAGTAACAGTGGGTCAAGTTTTAGTAAGATCAAACATTTGTGCGAGCAACTTTCTTCCTGGAAATGGTCACTAGGTTTAAAACAGCAGTGACAATAATGTAAGGGAATGTAATATACAGGTCTCCAGAAAGCAGCTGTGCAAACACAAGGAAGAGCCTTATGGAAAACCATGACATTAAGAGACTTGTTGATTACATTGCATGTCTAATTCAAGATGTTTTGCTTATACAAAATCAAGAACATAGCCTCCAATGGATAATTTGGTAGGTTACACATTGCCTTCAGATTGCTTGATTCGTGTTTTTCACTTGACAGAACACCCCTTGCAGTCTGAATCTAAAATGATTAGATTTCAGTAATGCAGATTTTGTTCCAAATGCATTAAGCTAGTTAACGCATATATATAACATTTCTATAGCTTTGTGTACTTGATAATGGCATAATATTAATCATTTTAAGATAAGAACGAAATAGGATATTTTAAAATATCATATCTGGCAAATAGCTAGCAATATTAGTCTTCTTTCCAAAAGCAAGAGATTAGCTTTCTCATCATGACAACAAACTAAAATATTGTCACGAAGACAGGTAACATTTTAGTAGCCTATAATTTACTGTGTATAAGCATTTCATGACCTTTTGCTTACTGGAAAATAAGCTTAGAGGACTTTTTTCAATAAACTACTATTAATGTCTTCACCCAAATTTCCACTAGTTTAGATGATTTTTCAAAAGATCTTCCATTTAAGAGGTAAATCTAATTCTTCTATGCCCTTTATTTTATGATTAAAAGATATTTGTCTGAGTTCCAGCGTTTTTTTCCAATATTTCTTCAAATAATCCCAGGAGAAAACAAACTAACTATAAGTGAAGATAAACTAACTTTTAGTTATCTTATTTACCTAGTTAATACCTTTTGTTTTAAAATGTACAAACTAAAAACTCTTCCTATAAGAGACAATCCTGCAATATTTTCTCTTGCAAATGTTATCTGTAATACTTTAAAAGGAATGTTGCTATTTTTCCTGAAACATTACATTGAAAGTATAAACAAAAAGTGAAAATATCTATTTAGACCTTTGCTATCACAAGTGTCTCAGATCAGGATGATTCCATTACTCTTTTACTGTTTTTCTCTCTACTTCCCAAATATTTCTATTCATAGCAAACGGGAATGGCAAATGCAGATATGTTGAAATAATTATGATGGTAATAATAACAGGCAGTATTTACTCAGTCCTTGCTATATGCATTAACTTTTTTAATGCTCTACAACAACCCTTTTCAGTAGATATTAATATTAACTCCATTTTTGTGAAGAACAATGACCTGGCCCTGTGGTCCACACACTAGGTTCAAAGGTGGATAAGAAATATTCTTTTCCATCTTTCCCTCTGGATATAGAAGGCCGTATAATTTTTATTTCTCATTCTTTAAAGGATAAATAACCTTCAGACTCATCTCCTCTCCCTGCCCCTCCCTTGACTGCTCGCCGCATCTGTTTCCAGTCATCCTCTACATACCTTCCAAGGATTTTCTCTTCATCTCTCTGACCTTGTCCCTCTGACCCAGACCTACGCACCACTTTTCTCAATTTTCACTCATTTTTCCTAACTCCTACTCCTAAACCCTTCTTCTATTTCATATCAAACTTATTGTTTTTATGTGCTTTCTCACTTAGAGTACTTCAAAAATTGCTATTGCAACAATTCTAAGTGTTTGAGGTAAAATCCAGATGTTTATGTTGAACAGCAGTGCCAAACACCAGACATTTAATATAAACAATATGTTTACAAACCCCACTTTATTGGAGAGCATACTTTTTAACTCATATACCTAGCCAGAATATTGAATGTAAGAAAGAAGAAACATTAAAATTGTTAAACCATGCTTCTAAATTAATTTCACAACTTCTTTCAGATGGATTTACCTGAAATGTCGAATGCATATTTAGCATAACGTTTGTCAAAGTTTTTATTATTTTATTTTGTCTGCTGTCTTTGTTAAAAAGCACTGTATTTGTTAAAAAGCAAACATATTTATTTCTATTTTTAGTCCATTCAAAGGATAGATTATGAAAGTAATTTGATTAGAATGTGAAGTTTATTTATATTGAGAAAAATTGCAGGGAAAACATCTCGATTTTTTAATTGATTATATGATTTGATTGTACTCAGGTTTCTTTATATTAAGAAACATAATAAGACAGTATAAGAACTCATTATGCTCAGAAAGAAGATTATGCAACAGGGTTGAATGAATTTTCATACTTTTAATAGGGTGTATTAAAAAAGCTAGGTTAGGTAAACCAAAATTACTGACCCAGCTCTGTTGTTTTCTAGCTCTATGACCTTGAACAAATTATTTAAATTCTGTAAACCTTAGTTTCCTCATCTGCACAATAAAGACAATAATGGTGCTCATCTCACAGGTTTGCTGTGAGGAATAAATGTGAAAATGAAGTTGAAGTGCTTGGTATAATGTTTAGTAAAGCATATATGATGAATAAATTGTCATGTTTATTATTATAAAATAATTACCATAGCCCCATTAAATAGTAGAAACTCAAATTCTGTAAACACCTCTCCAATAACTCTTTGCTGTCAACTTGTGTTTGAGTGTTCTTGTCTAAGGGAACTTATGATAGTTTCCATTTATTTTGTAATTATAAGGAAACGAAATACTGAGATACATGCGTGAATACTCAACATAGATTTCAGAGGCCAAATAGAAATCAACAGGCCTGATTAATGTGTGTGTGTGCACATGTGTGTCCTATAGAGTGAGGCTATGTGTATCCCAATCTGGCACAGCAGGTGTATGTGAGATGTGTGGATCTTGGCCTTCCAATTCTAGTGTTGGCTTTACTGCCTAGCTATTTAATTTTTAACTTTTCTCAAGAACTATATAATTTTTTAAACCTCAAAAATTATTTTAAAAAAAGTTTGCCTAAACTTTGTTTCTGTTTTTAAGTAAGATGGTCTTTTTTTTTTTACTGAAATCTCTACTACATTTTAAGAAGATCATAAGAAGAAGCTAAACATTGTAGAAAGTTCTGTAAAGATGTAGCCGCATGTTGGTATTTCATTCCGACTGTTGTACTTGAAGCATGCATTTGGATAAAAGCAAAGAGGCATGTGTAGACTGTCAGTTCACACTAAATGCAAAAGGAAGACCCATGTCCAAATAAAAACTATGGTATCTAGATGCAGCATGACAAGTTCACAATAAGTATAATTCAATTTAAGGAAAAAAATTGTGTTCTCCACCTAAAAGATTATCTTCCAATTCATATAAGATTTTTAAAATGTACGGGAATGTTCAACAAAATATCAGGCTATTGAAACTGAAGAATCTGATAAGAAAACAGCTCTACTCTCCAAGGATTTATCCCGGCATATAATCAATCATGGAAACGCACTTTTTCACTGCTTTTTTTCCTGATGCAACAGCTGAAGGAAGAAATTACCTAAAAATCAGTGAATGTAGGAGACCAAGACACATAATCTATTTAATCCCCATGTTTCTTTATTTTATTCCCACAGTAATAAAATATCCCTCTCAGCAAAAGCTAAATTATTTGAGTAGAAATATGGAGCAGGCAAGTGTTAGAAACACTTAAGTCGTCCAAACCCAGGCCATGAATAACAACAAATTTCAATCATTTCCTTGGCAAGAGATAAAGAATTAAACAAGGATATCTTAAAACAGGAAACAGCTTTACACCTTTCTGATGTGTGATTAGCTAATAGAAGTGACTTCTGCTAATATCGTGCACTGCTCCTTCCCTGAAGGACTCATAAACTTCTCTGGGCAACACCTAGGTGAATCAGGCACTTATTAAATTTTACTATCTTTTTAATTTACCTTAGAACTCTTGGAACAGGTTATTAAATGAAGCAGCCAAGTTTCCCTTTTGCACCTGCAAATAACAGTTGAATCTACAATTAGGGATCATTTCCTCTTTTTTGAAATTCAAATAATGGCATTAAAACAGTGTGTAATATTTTTATCTGCATCTGGTCAGGCAATTTCCTGGCATTTGGGATGAGGTAACAGGATGACTGCATAAAAATGCTACATAAAGACGCTGAGATAATCTCTAGATAACTTCAGAAATGCAGACAACTTCTAGATATTAAAGTAATCAGAGTGAAAACAGACTACACACCTCTGAAGCCACTTTGGGGGTAGGAGGGGGACTTTGATTTCTACATGAAAATAAAAAAATCAAAATTAAATCAATGCTAATATTTAATTTGGATGAAATGCATTAAAGAGAGTATATTTCTAGTACTCTTAGAGTTGATGATCCAGAAAGATCTAAAACATTTAATGCAATTTACCCATCCCCAAACAGTCATATATCCTTTTCTCATATCTGCTTCCATACTCATATTCCCTGGAACAGTTCCCATTTCTTATCTACCAGAGTTGTTCTAGACATTTCCAAAGCCTCTCCCATAGAACTCCTCTTTCAAACCTGAAGATTATATTCAATACCTGTATTAATCTATAACAGGCTATTGTGTTACTAACTAAATTTTTATTGCTACTGAAACTTTTTCCAGTTAATCCAAAAAGAATCCTATCCTTAACTCCAACTAATAGTTTTCTAAATTTTATCATTTTCTGAGAACTCTTTGCCACTAACATTTCCTGCATTCACACATCCCCGAATTTAAAATCCAAAATGCAAAATATATGTTACAGTATTAACAAGAAAATAGAATAAATTTTCAATACCATCATATATTTTATAGCAGATTAAATATTTTACAGCTTTCACAAATTTTAGAACCAGAAGAAATCTCAAATGTTTAAGATTTTATTTTTTCCTTTTTCTCCCCAAAGCACCCAGGTACATAGTTGTATATTCTTAGTTGTGGGTCCTTCTAGTTGTGGTATGTGGGACGCCACCTCAGCATGGCTCGATGAGCGGTGCCACGTCCGAGCCCAGGATTTGAACCAACGAAACCCTGGGCCACTTGCAGCAGAGCGCTGGAAGTTAACCACTCAGCCACGGGGCCAGCCCCTCAAATGTTTAGTTCAAATTTGTCATCTTTGGATGAAGAAATTGAGTCCCAAAGAAATTAAATGACTTGCCTAAGATCACACAGCTAGTAACTGGGACCAGGATTTTCTAAGACTGTCCTGGTTGAATTATAGTTATCCTGTTATCTCTCAAAACTATCTCAGTTTGGAAAATAAATCATAAGGTCACCCTAGTTAATGTAACTACTCAAGTAACTACTGGAGACTGACCTCCAGTTTAGGACTTTTTCTCCCCATCCTCCGCAAAACAAATTTTTTTAAAGTAATGTATCTTAGTCCTTATGCAATTATTGACACTGCCAATTCTTCTCTGATTTTTCAAAGTAACTCAACTAAAATCAAACCAGCCTGTAAAAAACGTAATAAGTATTATGGAGGAATGTATCTTACCAAATCATTTTTTCATTTTATTAGAATTTGTCTTTATAATATAGACCTCAAAGTAAGTTCTATAAGAATGAAATGACGTAGAAACATATGAGGCACAGTTCTGAGGTGTCCACATTCAACTTGTTGACAAGACATCACATTACTTAAATAACGGATGCAATAATATTGGTATCAACAGGGCAGTGGATGGAAAGTCTAAGAAAAGTGGCACGTGTAAGGTGATAGAAATTGGCGGAGGTTGAAGAATGGAAGGTAGACGGAGTTAAAAAAGATTTCATGAGAAAGATGGCCATATTTGGGAAAGGCCTTTAAGGAGGCGTGATTTCAAAAGCCAGAATGACGGAGAGCAAACCAGAGCAGAGGGAAAAGCGTGAACATGCTCAGGGAGGAACAAAGCCGTTGAAGTGGATCAAGGAAGAGTTAACAGCTACGTGAGTGCAAGACAAGAGGGTGGGGGTGGACAGAGAGGAGTCTGAATGTACGCATGATCATTTCATGTAATTCAATAGCCAGTGGGAAGCTAGTCAAAGTTTTAGAGAAGGTGACAATAAATACATTTTTGTGATAATCTGATAGCAGTTTGTAGATTTACAATGGATATTATTTTAGAAACATCTAGTTGTGAAGTAGAAAGGAAAATGCTATGCCAGAATCAATAAAGAACATGAATTTGGGAATTAGTCAGATCTGGGTTTGAAATAGTCACTGCCATTTACTGAGTGTTTTGAACAATCCTCTTAGCCTTTGTAAATTCCTTTTCAAATTCCTCCTTTGTAATCTAGGAAGGATTGACAGGGAACTCAGTGTTGTTATGAGGTTAAGTGAAATGGAACATATTTAGGTCAGGACTTAGAAAATAGTAAGGACTTGGCAAATGTAAAATGTTATTGAGATTGGTGCTGTTAAAGAAGTGAATAATAGTGGTAGCAAATTTTTAACACTGGTTTGAGATAAGTGAATAATAAATCAGTCCTTGATAATAGTAATTGAACTTGATTTTTTCTGCTAAGAATCTTGAAACATTTTAGTATTTCTAATGTTAAGAAATTATTTTGACCTAGAAAAAAATTGCTAGTTTATAATTTTTGCTAAAATAATATATAACATGCATACAACATGAGATCAGATTGAAGGTGTTTAAGAATGGTTTTATAATAATATTATGATTGAAGAGTCCCTCCGTGGCCCATAATCATGGAAGTATCACACAATTTTCTAGTTCCTAGTAAACTCCAGTCAAAGTTGAGATACAGTAGCTTCCATTTAACTGAGGGCAGTATGCCATGAATTCTGAAACACCTGCCACTAATTGAGCACAACCATTAATGGGATTTGATTTGTTCTTTGTTAATGGCCCTCCAATAAGATAAACTCTTAGGTACCCGCAAAGCAGGCTGTGCTCTTAGAACAGACGGTCAGATAGCAGGAGACTGGTACAATGAGCATTAAATTACTTAGACACTGAATGGAAAATTGAATGAGTGTGAAGAAACTAAATTTGTCATTTACTTAAAGTTTTCAAAGAGAGTAGTTATGGCCTGATAATAAAAAGGTACCAATTATTTTTTGCTCTAATGAATTAATGAAGCCATTGAATTAAGCAGTAGATTCCAAATAAATAAACACCAGTTAGAGTTTTACTTTCAAGCGTATTGGACTTCAAACAACCTGGAGTAAATTCTTCCTAATCATGAACAGTAAGAATTTTGACTGGAGGACAGTGTCTCTCACACTTTCTATTTTGTAGAAAATTTTGTAAACACACACGTGTATAGAATTACAAACAGATTTGCCCCCAAATTTTAGTACTGACCATTTTATGAAGTTGATTGAGGCTTTGAGCATAACAATAGTATACCTTGCATTCTAGTTTGTTCGTTGGGTTTTCTTTCTTTTGCAATGCAATAGGTAACCAGCCAGCAAACTAACTGACTCACCAAAAGTCCGTGTGCTCTCAGGACCCCGTAAGGATTTTCGTTCTTCCTGAATCATCAGATAGCGTTTACGGGAGCTACAGTTCATCAGCTTCAGACAGCTCAATGTTGTTTTAGTTACTTTAATTATGAACTTATGTAATATTTCTTTTCTTTTAAAAGTTTATACACTTTTGCATTTTATAATTAAATTTAGATTTTGTTTAAATTTCAGGAAAGGATTATGTTTAATGAAAAAGCCATCCTGTTAGCATGTTATAACTCAACCATCAGTTTGACTAAGAAATGTGGCCAGAAGTGCCTTTTAGGATCAAAGATGTTTTTTAAGAAAGAAAGAAAAAAACCTTATTTATAATCTTTTTCAATTTAGATCAGCTTTTCTGAATCCTAAAATTTTCTTGGTAGTATGTCACTTGACCTATTTTGGAATCCCTCTTAATGGTCTTGACTTTTTAAATTTCACTTAATCTAGTGTTTCAGTCCAGAATAACTGATTAAACTTTCATTCTTTCAAATGTTACCACTTAAAATTCAGAAGATATTTGGCATCTGGTAACGCATATTAGATAAAGTGTTTACAAGGTTTAAATATAATGTGTCCCGCTGTGCTCATTTGGATAAAGTAATTCAGCTTTGAAGGAATACTGTGCAGTAAATGCCTTTTCTCTTGCATTTCCTTCCTTTCTTTTCCCTTCTATTTGCTTCTCTCTTCTCTCTCTTTCTCTTCACACTTTCCCTGATATATACATAATATGCACACTAGAGTTTATCTCAAAAAGTGTTCCATTAATTATAAGTTTCAAGATGCTCTGCTGATTCAGACCTACAATTTATGAGAACCAGATTTTCTCATTTGCCCATTTGGTTAAGAGAGCATCCACATTAAGTCACTACAAATCCTTACCACGCAATGACGAAGTTTGGGCTTTCCATACAGTACCATATGGGCCTAGAGAATGTTCAGTTAGGATATTTCTAAAGGCTGCAAGTAACAGAAAATCCAATTTGCCTGGTGACAAATGAGGAAATATTTCAAATAGTATCAAATTCAGAGGGGCAGTGAATTCTGAGTGAAGTGACCTTTGAATCCACTTCTCTGTAAGCTTATGATTCATCTCTGCCTTCCCCCAGGTATTGGCTTATCCTCAGTTTGGGAGCCAGATGATTTTACATTATATATTCTTAGCATCTCATCTGGGCACGCATGGATACGTTAAGAGACATTCAAGAGACCAGTTTTTCATCTTGTGTTTCTTTTTTAAGAATCATTACATTCTTCCCAGAAGCCCGTCAATGAACGTCATCTCACATCAGGTTAGCCGGAATCAGATGGCTTGTCCATTCCTAAACGACTTTTTGTTCAGAAAGTTGGGATTACCAAAACAGGCTTATCTATTCAACTTCTAGCCTCTGAAGTTGAGAACAAAATAGGTTTTGGCATTTGGCTGAACAGAGGAGGGATGGACACTTCAACAATATTGGGAATATTCCACAATAGTCATTTAAGAAGTGGGAAGTGGGGTGGAATGGATACTGTAGGCAA